TCGACTTCTTGAGAAGAATTCTAAGAAGAAAGTAAACCTACAGACAACGGTCTTGTTTATTATAATGATGAAAGGTAGTATAACTTCATTATTTGCTCTGTGCTTTTTGCAGATTGATACAAAAATTTTCTTTTATTTTTTCTTGAATTTGCTTGGTGAGAGGGTCCTTCAGTGCCCTCGGCTGTCAAATTGAAGAAACGGCTTCCTTCCGGTTTTGAGAATTCATGTGTTATAATAATACTCAGTTTTGTCTGTCCTGAAAATGCTCATGCACCTTACTATCTAAATGCACACTTGTACACACTTTGTTTCAATAGATGTAAACAAAAGATAGATGTAAGTATACTTTAGTAAACATTTTGTACAACAACATATAAGCTTTTCAAAGTTTTTAAGAAGGTCTAACATTAGGTTGCAGAATAACATTTGTTTATTGATAATATTATAATATTGCGTATGGTAAAGTTTAGCATTAACTAAAGCAAAAAATATACACAAGTTACAGTGTTAATTTATCTCTATCAAATATAGGCTGTACATAATGAAGACTTAACTATTGTTATGCCAAAGACAAGTGGATTTATATATTTTGGTGCCTGCCTTTAGAATTCTTCTGTATTATTCTAGAAATCCTGTATTTAAAGAAGTACTGTTGCAATAAAGATACTGATTTGACCACAAATATAATATGATTATCATAGAATTATTATATGTCTTTCATAATATATTTTTAATGTAATATATCTTCAATAAAATTAATATTAGTTAAAAATGCTGTTGAAAATATCAATATTAGCATCTCCAGGTGGGACAGCAGTAAGTCAGTGGACTTACAAAGCTAAAATCCTGGGTTCAATTCTCAGCAGTGGGCACAGCATATATCCCATTGTGGCTTCACACAATATTAGCAAATAAATAAAAGTTAGAGAAAACTGCAAGAGAAACCATTTTTATCACATCTATACTACAATCTACAAGAGTATTTGTCAGATCTTTTGTATGTCTCTAATTGCAGCGAACATCACTGTCAGCATCTACATCCCCAGCTCCGGTTGTAATGCAACAGCATAGAATGCACACGCAAAGCCCTGTAGTGGCACTACCCCAACAACCCATGGTGTTAGGAATGGGTCAACCAACTTTTACAACTATGCAGCCTCAGTATGTGATGTCATCCCCAGGCAACGTGTCACTTGCTCCTCAGTTTCCACAAACAGTAGGAGTTTCCCAGGGTCAGAGATTTAAGAAACGTAAGGTTATATATGCTTCAGAATTTATCAGAAAATTAGATATGTTGTTTCAAAGAAAAAGATTGATTTTTCTGAAATAAACTTTGGCTTTCGGTTATTAAGTAAATATTTTGTTAAAAAATATTTGAAATTAATTCAAATGATCTTAAGGATATTTGAAAATCAGAAGATTTATTTTCGTGACAAAATACTAAAATGCAAACATTTTGATTTTTAAGCACATCAAATTGCAATGCAACAGCGTCACGATATGATGCCATGTGTCCATGTAGCTGCAGCCACTGGTCAACCGATCCTAGCGCCTGCTACCATTCCAACTCCACCACAGCTTGCCATGTCTTACCCATCTCAGGCAGTGGTTCAAGCAGGGGGACCACAACCAGGGATGCCTTATGCCCAGGTAACTGTCCTGTTCTCTTCTTCATCATTTTCATAACATGCAAGTTAATTTGACTGACCAGATGCAAGTGTTTTGCATTTCAGGTCTTTAGGCTTTGAAACTAAACTTACTGCTTTTTCAGATAGGCAGTTTTCTGTGACCTATGCTGAACTGAGGGAGGGTGTTACTGTTGTAATATATTTCAGTAAAGTCTATTAGTGCTTTTATATATGTTTTTTGTTTCTTCAAAAATATTTTGTAGGTATTATTTTATAAATAGTTTTTAAATAGAAATGTGTTTGTTTTACTCTATATTGTTCTCTGACCCACCACAATACCTCTTCCAACCCACAGTTTGGGAACTGCTGTCATGCAAGAAATGGTTTTAGACCTAAGAAATACAGATCAGAATTTTTTGTCACACTTTTCTTAAATATCTGTGATTGAAATATGTTAGAGAAATGAGAATTGCATCACATTTCTTAGGCTAATTCTTCTTCCCCAGTATCATGTCTGCATGCATGCAGTCATTAGTGATCATGACTTTCTATTTCTTTCTGTCCCTGATGTTTTTCAACAAATCTGCGTTGGCATTCTAACCATTTTGTGAGTCCATCAAACATCTTTAGTCTTTGTCTTACTGTGCTTCTCTTTCCTTCAATCTTGCTGGTTGTTACTATGTGATCCGTATTTTGTTTCCTCATTACATGGCTCATGAACTCAGCTTGTCTATTTCTTATCCTCCTGATGATGTTGTGTTGCTAGTCCATGCTATTTGCAACATTCTTCTTAAGAATCAAATTTCAGCTGCTTCAAAGTTTTAGGCCTAATAGCATTTGAACTAGAATATTGCTTCAGTACCCTGGAGTGTTAGTAGTAAGTTTTTGGTGTTAATTGAAAGGTTTCTGGGGCAGTAACATGAGTCAGAGAAAAGACCTGAAATGCTGTGTTACATACCTCTAGTTTGAAATCATAATGAACTGATTTAGAAGAATGTGATAAATATCTGCAATCAAACTAGCATGATTTTTATAACAGATGTTAAGCATGATGTTCTTATAAGTTTGTGCCAATGTTTTCACCAAGGTAAACTGAAGAGGACGTGTGAACAGTTTAAAAAATTAATGGTCCTTGTAACTGAGGAAGTTTGTTGGCTGTTTATAACAGCGCCTTCTTCTAAGATTTGTAAAGATATGGAGAAGTCCCAAAAATAAAATAGTTACTTTCATTCTTTGTCAGAAATTAATTTTATTTATCAGTACAAATACTCAGTTTTGGTTTCATTGAATTGTGGAATTGTTTATGGAATAATTTAAATTAGTACCTATTTTTCAAAGAACTGTGTTGCTAGTGTCCCTTTTTGCATATGTAGAACCAGTTATCTTATGAGCTTTGTAAACGTTTTTTATTACTAAAATATCATTTATTGATGGAAACATTTTTCATAGTGTTATATGAATGATGTTTGGGTTTAAGTTGGGTGATTGTTTTGGCAGTTATATGAAGTTTCATAGTGTAATAGTATAAAATTTTGGGTGAACAGTCTATATTCACAATCTTGATACAATAGAAACCTCTTTATCTAAAAATGCTAGGGACCAAAAACTCTATAGAGTAAATAAACTTGTAAGACTACTATTAAAGCAAACTATTCCTGGTACATGATACCACTGTTCTTTAAAATTTTGAATTAAAAAAAAATGAAATTGACTTTATAAAGTACAAAAATATGGTTTGTGTATTATTTTTATTTTTGCATGCTTCTGTTTTGTTTTTCAAGCATATTAGAATATCTCTCCCACTTTCCCAGTTTTTATTGATAACAAGACTTACCATTGTATTTATTTCAGTGTTGTGAAAATCATCTCTATAGAATGTGACTCCTAAAATTTGAACTATGCTGCATTGGCAATGCTGATCACTAACAGGCTTTGAACTACGTATCTTTGACTGCATAAGACCTTTGTTTGTATTCTGATTAAGAAATTAGCATAGAGGATCACATACAAAAGTTGTAATGGTTTTGAAACAAGACCCAAAACCTGAGCATTTTCGAATAGTTCACTATTCTTCTTCAGGAGAATAGAGGCTACGAAGGTCAACAATCCCAGGATCAAGATTGATTCCATTTACAGTATGTAATAGTGCTATCCAGTAAGCTTCTTTAATTTCCCTGTTTCTTTTAGATGTAAAACTTGTCTCTATACCCATCAGTTTGACCCTTTCACCATGGGTGTTCTTTACTGTGCATGACATAAGGTTTTAGTGGCTCACATTCAAAATTTTATTAGATTAATTTTTGTTTATGTTATACTATTTAGCATAGCATACAATCTTAGCTAATAATCTATATTTTAATAGTATAAAAGTTTTAAGTTTTTAATTCTGCAAGGCAATATTTTAAAAAATCCTGAATTTCCACTAGTGTAACCCATGTGATGCATTTTCTCTTAGCATCTCATCTAGAGATCTATTTTATCCACCACCCCTTGAAAAAAGTACAAAATTAAATCTGTTCACAAACGCATCTCTTCAGAGATGAGGAGCTTATCTTCAAGGTCAGGAAATCCAGGGTATTTGTAGAGAAGACGAGGCTACCCTCCATATTAATGTTCTCAAACTCCTTGCAGTACACCGGGTAATGGTTCAAGATCTGTCTCTCTTGAAGGGAAAAATTGTCATGATATATTCTGACAATTTCATGGTGGTATATCTTAGATTTCTCGTCAAGGAGTCACACCTTCTCTAGACCTTTGTTTTTGTACCTTGAATCTTCTCTACTGGGCTCATTCCCATCATATCAGTCTTTTAGCACGTTATGTTCCAGGAGTGATGTATTTAATTGTAGATCACTTGTCTCGACCTAACCGGATTCTTCCGACAGAATGGATCTTACATCATGAGGTTTTCAGTGGATTTGCTTTCCGTTCGGATATCCAATGATTGATGCAGTTGCAACTCATTGTACTTAATGACTTGGGTATTTGAGAGGGTCTTGCTTCATCTACTTTGGCTTTACATAAGGCATCCTTATCCATCATTTTTTTTATCTTTATCCATTTATCCAAATATGGGAAAGTTTTTTGAATCCTCAGTACTATCAGGTTTACTCAAAACTCTTCGTATTCTTCAACCCAAATGACATTTTTAATTATCAAATTGGGATTTCACAGTTGAGCCCTTAGTTTTTTGTTCTTTGTTTCACCTTTCTCTTAAATTGTATTTTTTGTTGTTATTGGCTTGTGGATGTCATCGGTCAGAGTTGTTTGCAATCCACATGCATCGGACTCTGTCATTCCACATTTGTCCTGCTTTACCTCGATAGGTTCTTTCTGTCCAAGACTGACAGCTAGGGAAGGGAAAAAATCCTTATCACCAATCCATGTGCCAGTCATTTCTCACCATTATGACTGCATCAATCCTGATCGTTTGTTATGTCCTGTTAGGGTTCTCAAGTGTGTCAGAATTTAAAAATATGTTCTTTGCCAATTGTCAAAATAAAAAGGGTTTTAGTTATACTTCTTAATAGTATAAATATATACTATGTTGTTGTTGGGCTTAGGATTCTTGTACAGTAGGTGTTTGTGACTTATTAGCGATAAATTCAACGATGAATAAACAGCACGCACTTCACTTGTTTTCAAAATAATATATATTTTCAGAACAAGTTAATGTATGTACAATAAATTATTCAACACCATAGATATCATGGACATATCATAAATACTACATATGTAGTTGTCTCCTTGTCAAATATCCACTTAGGCCTATTCAATTACTTCAGAATTTCAGTTGACATGTCGAAATATCTTCTCTATTTCTATCGCCTTAGTATTCTCTGTGATTCACTTACAGTTGTGGCACGAGTTACCATAATAGTTTGGTCTTCTTTCTTTTGAAGATCTGCTCCTTTAGTCAAAGTGCACTCAGGCTGATTCAATACTTTAGAACCATGCTTTGATGGAATAAGATTATTTTTCTTAACTTCTTTTCTACTGTTAGTTTTACTCTATCATATTATGTGTTAGGCCTATCAATTCTATGGTAGTTAACTTCACACCAACTCTATTCTCTTTTGCTATTATCTGTCTGCTGCTTCCTGCTTGTCTCGCGCTATTTATATCTTTATGACTTAATTATCTGTCCACTTTCTATATTCTCGAAGTCAATGAATTATTAATAAAACTTTTTACAGTCGTCTGCTTTTAACTGTTCTTATGACAAAAGCTAAACAATAATAAAATAGTCACTCACAAAAATAAATTAATCACTAATATCTAAACTTTTATATCATGAAAAAGTGTTATATGGCTTGTACTAACTCATTTTGAGGTAGTAGGATTTCCTGTGATTTATCTCCCATTACCCTAATGAGGTGGCTTCATAAATTGATTCACATGACCTATAATGGATTATTGTTACAGGAGAGGAATCTTTTGCATGTCACATCTCACCAGCTTTGTCATATCTCTATGTTATTAGCTGCCTGGTTGAATTGCCCTTTGGAAGAAATTGTGCAGTCTGGTATATGTACTACTCCTAATACTTTCCTGTCACATTACTTACATGATCTGGCAGTTTCCTCTTCTGAGGGTTTTCAACTACCCCTGTAGCTATTTTGATCATATCCATTAGATTTTCACCAAAGGTCCCTGTATTGTTCACAGGATCCCACTCTGTGGCAAGTGTTGCCCAGGAAGGTATGCTTTCTCTTTTCAATTCGTCACTAACAACCACTTTCACTATAATTATTTCAGGTTGCAACAGACTGTTGATATGGGGTATTCCATAAGAACATCTAGGCACCTACCGTATGGTATAACCTTAATATTATGGACCTCCACTCATGAACTATCATGAGTAAAGCTAAAGGGGATTCTGCCTGTCCCTGTCAACCTTTAGGTTGAATAAATTGGGATCAATTTGCTTTTAAAAATGTAGGAACTTGGTTCACCTACTGCACAGTTTCCAGAGCACTGTTCCTCAGGACTCCCCAATGCATATCCCCCCACAGACTCTACTAGTGGAGCTCGGGAGTCCTTACTACCCCCAGTTTCCAGTCGCTGGGGTGGTAGACAAAGACTTTTTCTTCAGAGTGTTCGAGTGTGTTCCTCTACTCTTGGAGAAGAGGGCAAAGTTGGGGGCCCTCCTACTCGGGTTCCTGGATGTTTTTCCCAGATGTCAGTAGAAGTGGTACCAGCCTCCACGGGAGCCTACTCCTAATTTTGGTTCAAATTTGACATGAAACTATCTGGTTTGGGAGGTGCATGGGACTTCTCTTTGATCAATGTCAGTTTTGTATATTGTTCATTGAAGGAGGTCCACTATCTCCTCATAATTCAGAATGCAAAGTGATTTCTTCCTAGGTCCTTGGTTGAGTACAGGTTCCACATCCTCTCCATAATTCCAATGGTAAGCCGAATACTCCTTGCCCACTTGGTTGGGGAGTGAGGCTGAATGTTCATAATTCCAGACCAGATGAGTTCTGTTCCTTTGGTTGAGTACGGCATACATGATCCTGTCATTCCAAACCTGGGGTGTTGCCTTTTGGACTTCTTCAGGTGGGGGAGAAAGTTTGTCCACTTCTGTGTTGCTTACTTTCTCATTGTGATTCCGGTGGTGCGAAATGCATCACTCTATGGCTACAGGTTGGGATTCAATCAAAAATGTGTGTGTATATATAACATTGCAGTCCAATAGCCCTAGCCACCAACGTGGGATATAGGTACCACAACCCCGAGTTGTGGAACCTCGGCTATCTGGTTGGGTCTGGCCTATACTGATGATTATTCACATTCTATTCCATCTTTGCTACAGGAACTGAATTCCAGGTCAAGAGCATACCTGTTCTGGATGTAGTGTGGTTCCCCCACTCTTCTACCATTTTTATCTTGGTACACTTCTGTTCTGTACAGACATTTTCTATATGGTTCATGCCTGCACCACCCCCTCCACCTTCTCAATGTGGGATTCTAGCTATAGTGTCAAAGGAGGTAAGTATGTTTTGGAAGTTAACCTTTTCCTAACTGAAAATGTATTTTCAATAATACTTATCTCTGCTGACACTCCCACACCCTACCTCCCCACTAAAAGCTGGTTTATGTTTCGAAAAAGTGATTACATTATCTGAATGAGGTGCTTATATACAATACCTAGATAGAGGGTGCATTGAAGTTAGTGGAGAATTTTGCAAATTTGAATTTGTCAAAGGCATTTGAGTGGAGTTTAAAAGACTGGAGCAAGTGTTTCAATGCTCAGATGGACAAAGAGTGGAAACCCTGGACATGGTGAAATAGCTATAGTGTCAGCAGCAGTATGTATTATTGGAAATACATTTTCAGTTTAGGAAAGTGTTAACTTTTGGTGGTCATTATTGGAAAATTTGTATGTCTCCTGCACAAACTTATAGGTTTGGCATTGCTTGCTGTTACAAGGGTGAATTCCACCTGGTGTCGACTTAAAGTTGACTTTATTGTGAACTAAGTGTGAATGCAAAGTTTTATTATTTCTGAAAAAAACAACAGGCTCTTTAAAGATGGATTTTAGTTGATCATTAAGTCGAAGGAGAATATTTGAAAATGCTCGAGTTTTGGGTTTTGTTTGAAAACTGTTGTTGGTATGATATTGTAAGTAAAAAGTGTGCTTAAGTTTAGCAGAAATCTAAAATAATAAACTGTTGATAGAAAACATGGACATTTCAGAATTTTCCTAATTCCAACTTCAGCATAAACACTTCAAAAATAAGTAACAACAAAAAAGAGAGAGGAATGAAAATCCAAGTAGTGTCAAAAGCATAACTGCTATGCATGAAATAGGTAAATAATTGCCATTTAACCATCAACTTATAACTGATTAGCTCACTTATTTATACAGTGATCAATTTAGGCTGGGAAATTTTGAATGCCATTTCAGACCTTTTTACTAAATACTTCTGGGATAATCTTCTGGTTCAAAGGACAGTCATGACTATAAATACGGTATTGGGATGTTTTTTATTCTTTATGTTGTTATTCTCGTTTTTCAGATCTAAAATTTTAAAAACTGGTTCATTATTTTCCTTGTAATCATCATACCTTGAGTATATCTGATACACATAACATTACCCTTTATAATAAATAAAGCTATACAGAACAATTATTTATCAAATATCTTAAATGTGGCTGAGTGTTATTGTACAAGAAAACTTTTGTTGACCTGCAGAGTTTTCAGGTCTTTGTTAGTTCTTTTAAAATAATGAAATGCAACTGTGGAAGAAGACCACAAGATTTACAACATTGTTAATGTGCGCAACTATGTGAGGGGGGTTGTAATAACAGTATGAGTAAATCTTTACTTGGCTGGTATGATATGTCATGATGTTTAACAGCCAATCAGGTACAAGTTGGCTTGTTCTATTGCCATATGAAATATGTTAAATAAATATTATTTTTTATCTTAATTTTGAGCTCTGGCCAAAGCACTGTGTTTAGGAGAAAAACACAAAGATTTATCATTTGTTATTAAACTGAGATTGTGAAGTTGTAGTATACATAGATGTATATAAATGACAAAGAATTTGTTGGTGCATACATTTAAGGTATTTTTTTTAACAGTCTGTTTCAGAGTCCTATTTCTGCTTGAATAAATGTTTTTTGATAGCTGAGGTGTTAGTCAATGTCTGCCATGGAAGTGTCAGAGATATCAGCATTTATGCTAATTGGCTGCAAGAACACATCCAGAATATTTGTGCAATGCAAAATGCACAAGAATTAGAAAAAAAATATTTTTCACTTCAAGTTTGCTATATGTGTTATTACTGGAACATTTTGTACAGCTGTTACAACATTTTTATAAAATATAATAAAATATTAGTTATGTAATTTTGATGAAATTCATGTTCTATTAAAATCTGTAAATTAGTTCTTTAATAATTATAGGTCGATCTTGAAAAATCTTGAAATGTTTTTACACTAGTCTGCCTGAAGCATGTGCATGGAGAGAAAGAAATTTGTTTCTATCCTTTTCAGGTTCTCTTAGAGTTAACAAGATTGTTTGAGCACAGTAATATATATAATTGTTTATTGAGTAGCAATAAAAATGAAATAATTTAATTACTATGTACTTTGAAGAAATCTTGTATTTTTAGGCATAACTGAAATAATGACTTTATCATTCATAGGTCTATCCTGTGCTCTCTCGGATGATGTCTCCTCAGCCTGTAGGAATGGTTCCCACTTCTCCTACAGTATCATATGGTGAATATGTACAGGTGGCAGGACATATATACAGTAAGTACATCTGAACTGAATAGCACTTAATTCAAACAGCATCTCTTCCTGTAATCAGAGGTGAAATTCTCATCAAAAAAGTGCTGGTGCTAATATTTGCATTCAACAAAGGAATTTGCTTATATGTGTAAGTTATGAAATAGTTTTACTAAAAAAACAAAAGAAGAAAATGCATACAACCATTGTTTGAAGGTTTTAAAGAAAGAAATTATAATAAACAGACAACTAAGTTAAACATTTCATTGTTGTAAACTTGCCTCTTTTTTTCTTTTCTTCCCTCCTATTCTATTGGATGACCAAATTAAATTGTGTTGATAACTGGGATGGGTATCAATCACAGTGTACCAGCCAATAAAATGGATGATTTGAAGATGCATATTATTATTATTGACCAATCATAGAATCACACAACTTACTGCTTTGATAATGATGACATTGATGCTGCTGAATAATTTCTTTTGATCTTGTTGCCAACAAGAACTAAGTTGTTAGGACATTTTTTGGTTCATTTTTATTTAATAATTATTAAGGTTTGGTGAGTTGTAACAAGTTTACTTTCTAACAGTATGATGGAAAGCATGTGGGTTAGTCCAAAACAGGTCAAATAAGCTTCAGTACTGAATACTGGCAGAATTTCATGCCTAATAGTAATTGTATACTGTAATAGGGGTGGGAACTGGTTATAAGATAATATTTAATTGGTTGGCCATAGTCAACTAACGATTGATTACTGGGAGCAATGTAACTATTAATACTTTTGTACAAGCTCGATTTAATCAACCAAGGTCATGACCCCAAATTAACCTTTATAGTTTCCATACTATAACTTCTAATATTATATGTGTATCTTCACAAAATTTTGCAGGTTTTAGTAATCATTAAGAGTCATTTGTAGATTTAAAAATTAGAATTTTTAATGAAGTATTTTTACTAAAAATTTCTTCTTTGTGAATATATGGAATCAAAGTGTTGACTGCTCTGAGTGCAAAGTAATCTTTATGTTAAGATTAAAAAATATCTTTCTTCCCCTGAAAAATCTCAAATTTCATTTGCGTAATCTCTGAAACCTCCTAAATAAATTTCAGACATTTATTTTTTTCAGTAAAACTATACTTTATCTGTTATTTTCTTTACCATAAAGCTATACAAGGCTGGTCAATTTAACTGACCTCGTAAACACCAAATTGTAACATGAAACTATATTTGTTTATCCTAAATAGCTTTAATCTCATAACAGTATACATCTGCTTATACTTAAATTTTATTGTTTTATTGCTCCTTGAACCATGAATAACTGGTATTCCCACCGTAAAATTTGTAAATCACTTGGCGAACGTGTTGTTCAAGGTACCCTGTCAAATTATATAACACACAAGCTACTCGTGAGTGTACCTCTTGAACATTTTTATTGTTACTATTATTATTTATTTTACCTAATCTAACCTAAACAGTTTCTAATTTTTACGTTTTGGCTACTTTTATAATAATAAATAGAGAATACACATGAAGAACGAGAAATAAGGTACCTACCTATGTCTTTTTTTGCTGTTGACTGTCAGTGAAACTTAACTCTATTTTTTTATATTAAAGGGACTACTGCATTAAATATTTTTTTATTTAATTGAATAATGCACCAAAGAACAGAGAATAATCACATGCAGAAAGCAGACAATGTTCCATAACTATCTCATATTTTCTGGCCTTCTAACTATGTAACCAGAGCCATTAAAAATTTTTCCCATGGGAATAAAGTTTGAACTGGAGGAGAAATAGACAATTCTCTGTACAGAAAACAACTTAATATGTTATACATCATTTGATAGATTAAAACCTTGGCTTTTTGTTGATTATAAATAATTCAGTATTGAACATCCGAGAGAACTCTTGGCAATTTCTGAAAGACAGGATGTGACAGGTGGGCTTAGCAAGAGGGGTCTGATTTTTTATTTTATGGTTTTGTAACTAAATAAGATTGAAAGCTATAAAAATTATGCTTTGCCTTACTAATGACAACATTATAATGAGTAATTTACATTAAATTTCATACTTCTTGGAGGGGTGGTAAATAAATTAAAGAAGAGGGGATGCCTAGAGAGAAAATGTCAGTTCTCATACTAATGAAAATGGAGGATTTTTGTTTAATATTGCCTTTTAAATTAAGAACTTAAATTTATATACTATTAAAATTTGGATTATTAGCTAAATTTTTATGCCAAATTTATTTGTATACCATGATAAAAAAGTGATTTAATTAAATTTTTAATATAATTCCCTAAAACCTTGTGATGCGTGCAGAAAAGGATGCCTGTTGTGAAAGTGTTAAATGAACAATTTTATGTAATTAATGATTTTGATTAATACTGTTGAATGTTTTCTTATTTAGCTAAACTTTTCCACAGTGAAATTCATCATTTTCTGACATGGTAGTGTGACCTAGATTTCTTTATCTAGAAGTACACAAAGTTGGTCCATTGGACCAACCCCATATTACAGGAATAATGTTGACTATAATTCCAAATTTACGTAGAGTATTTTTATGAAATGTAGTAAGTTTTTAATCAACAAAATAAATCTGTTGTACACACACACAATTTACGTGTTACTGAAGTTTTTCTACTAAAGGTATGTGTGAAATGTTGAAGTCAGTCTGACTCAAACTCTGACAAGTCTGAGTGCAAGGTAATGTTCATATGAAGATAAAAATACATTTGTTCATCCTGCAGTTTGCATTTACTAACCTCTACAGTCTTTTAAATGCTTATCTAAAGTGTTTTTCAGTATCCTTGTATACTGTATTTTATATTTTCTTTAGTATGAATTGTTGCGATATTAGCATTGTAGGGTAAGATAAAAAGTAGACAACTTTGACATAAAAAATCATAATACCGTGTTGAATGGCACTGTTCAAGTTAGGGGCATCCATGCTTTAACCCCCACCCATGCATATAGGGTTAATTTCAGTTCTGTATTGATATGCCCACTTGTTAGCTAATTGTAGGCACTTATACATATGGAGGCAAACTTTACTCCAACATCATGAATGATTAATACAAATGAGAGAAGAAGGATATTTCTGCTGGAAGGATTTTACCCCAAAATATAGTTTCATTTCTCCTGTCCAAACATTTCCAGATTGAACATATTGTAAAGGTTTTTTTTTGTCATAAAATAACTTACTCAGCAATGAGTGATTTCATTGGACAAGTGTTTTTTGTCTCAGTCTTTACCTTAATAGCCTTGAAATTTTGCTTAGATTCTTGTTACAACATTAAAATTAGAAAACAATTCCAAAATAAGTTTGAATCATTTTATGAATTTTTACTTACAAATTTCTATAAACATACTTGCTTATGATAGTCAATATTCCACATTTACACTCAATGTATAAAATACTTGTAAAGTAACTGTTGCAGAGAGATATAAAAGTTGAAGATTTGACCAAAAACAGAAACACATTTACCTGCTATAGTATGTATACCTGTAACAATTCATTTTTTGAGGAGAATGATCATAACTACATAATAATGCTTGCAGTTCTTCTACTGTACTCTCACTATAATGTCACTAACTTACGCTACAATAGCCATATTTTCTAAGCCCAAACAATTATGTGGACTAATGGTTAGCCATTAAAATTATTCACTATTTCTAATAGGTTTCATAACAAACAAGAATTTATTATAAACAGTGAATGAAATTGTTAAAGTATACACTCATTTCAGCCAAAAGAGTATGTTAGAATTTATTCTAGGTGGTCTTAATTCTGTCTGTTGCTAAAAAATATTTGAACACATACCAGCTAGCTTTGTGCTTCCAGGATAATCTTTTGTACTTTTTTCCAAACTAAAGCGACAGAGTTTTGCCCTATACAGTGCTATGGTAAACATATATTCAGTTTTGTTTGAAAGGCTTTCTTATGTTAAAAAAACAAAAAATCAGTCAGCTCCTGAAAGGAATAAGCAGGCACTGTCAGTAATCTGGAACAAATCAGAGTAGTGATTTTAGTTGACTATTGTAAGGGAATAATCAACAAATGCTCTTGCCTTAGTCTTCCAGAAAATGTTTTTCTCTCATATGCTACTTTGTATACATAATATCCTTTAAAAAATGTTCTAGAAATTAACCCACAATATTTACATAACAATATTCTCCATGAATTTCTGGTATGATTTGCAGATCGTTTGGTTATGTTTGAAGAGGTTTTGTTGATATACTAACAAATTGAACAGTGCAGAAGTAATCATGCTCTAGTATACTGCTTTAGGTTAAACAGTCTATAAAGTTAACTCTCTCTTTAATGAGTCCTGGAATTTTTAGAAGACATTTAACATTTTTACTTTAATCATCAAGAGTATGTATAAATAAGTATATCTGCTGTGTATAAACCTGTTGTGTTCTAGAAGTGTCATTACAGTGAATCTTTTCAACCTTTAAAGTATTAGTGCTCAAAAGCTTTCAGGCCTCCATATGTTTTTAAGATAAGCTATTTATAAAAGTGATTTTATTTCTTTTCCTTTCAGTGTCTCCTCAAATGGGAGTTCCTGTTAGTGGTGTGCAGAATTTTATACACCAGGCATCATCTGGACCCCATTCAGCTCCGTCCACACCTCAGTCACAGACTCCTGGCACATCTTTTCATGCCTCTTCATCAATACACCAACTACCAACTGCACCCTATGTAACCTCAGTCCAAACTCCAACTCCTGCTGGTCAACCAGGCCATGCTCATACACCACAGCCTGTGGTTTATAGCCAAATGATGCCCCAGCCTTCCATGCTGCATCCAGGACCTCAAAGTTTGAATACTTCTCAAGCACATCACCTGAATCAGAACCACTCGCATCCCCACCACATTAGTTTCTCAGGTGCTCCCCAATCTATGATCCTTATGCCTCATGGCCATTACTCTGTAGCTTCTGGACACCATGCATTCCAGGGTCATCCAAGTCATGGGCATAGTCCAGGAAATTATACTGGGACACCTACAAATGTAATCCCTCACATGCCAATGACTATTATTCCAACTAGTTGTGCCATGGGCCCAAACCCTATGGTTAATGCTCCTTTCATAGCCCATCCGCAAGGTAATAAAATAACATAATTAAGTTCAAATGAAAGTTTATCAGTTATTTTGTCTTTACTTTTAAATGTCAATTAAAAAATGGTTCATAAAATCTTTGCTTACTTTAAACTTGCTGACATATACTACAAACTTATATTGTCACTAATATTTTGTTTTTTTTATTCATACTTATAATTAAATATAGGTAGATAAAATGATGATTCCAATTAAAGTTTATTTATGCACCAAAAAAAAACTCGTACTGGAAACTAGAGGTTACCAACATGGTTGTCCTTAAAAATGCTATGCCATTGACTTTACTGACCTTTATGTTCAGACCTCTTTTATTGATTATTTTAATTTTTAAAATTCTTTTGTAGAATGTTCATTTTCTTAACACCATATTGTGATAACAAAACCAGTAGCAATGACTTAAACTTTACTTTAGATACTGATTATTTGAAGAAAAAATACTTTAATCTGAAAGCAAGAACATTTAAACTTGCATATGACAAAAAGCATGCTTGAGCATAAGAATCTTGTTTTCAAATAATAGGGCTTTAATTACTATCTTGTTTACTTTTGATAATGAGTATACTAAGATTTGTTTGTTTTAACAGAAAATAAAATAAAGTTTTATCCACATACTTTGAAAAAGTGAGTTTTAATCTCGGTATCAACTACTTCTAGCACTTTCTCAGTTTACTTAAATCACAAATTTAAAAAACAATGGTAATAGAAGGATTTTACATTCACTTGAAAGTGGAAATTGATTATTTTTATCATTACATACAAATAGAATTATTTTAAATAATGCTGCTGAACACACACTTATCTATTTTTATTTGCCTAATTTTAAATGTAAAAAACATTAAGATCTGTTTTTCTTATTAGGAACCAGCCAAGGCCAACCTAATCCGGTGCAACCCTATCCACAAAGCCATTAGTAGTCAAAGTAAGTAGACTATTCTTTTTTGAATAAAATACTAGTGAACTTTAAACTTATTATAATTATTTAATATCTGCTTTGTCTTTTTCCACTTCTTTAATTCTTACTGTCTTAACTGTCAAAGCATTAACGTTCACTAGTGAAACCCCTACATTCAAAATTCATTAAACAGTCGTTTTTACTGATAAAAGTTATTTTACATCATAAAAATGTTGTTAAATGTTATAGTACATTTTCATATGAAACATAAAATTTGAACAATTTTTTTTTTGTTTCTATGGTTTGGTAAATCCTAGTGGTTAGTGTGCTTCAACTGTGAATCCAAGGGTTCGTGGTTTGTATCTTGTTACCACAGAAACTCACTTTGCACTTTGTAATAGTAGGTGAACTATAAAAATCATAGTCAAAACTCACTAGTTTGTTGGATAAAAGTAGCCCCAAGAGTTGGAGTGCGTGCTGCTGTTGATTTATCAAAATTATTGATGGCTAGTGCTAATAGCCCTTGAGTTGCTTTGTACAAAATATCTGAAGTAAACATTTATTATTACATTTCTTGTAGATTAAATGATATATTTAATGTCATTTCATTTATAGTATCTGGAATCTACACTCTCTCTCTTTTTTTATCATGAAATATAATATTTTGAAGCAGATAGAACATTGTTGCACTTTTAAATTGTGAACGACCTTAGAAAATACTTTTCTTCTGAAAACAGACGTGTAGAACATGTTCTACTCCAGTTTAGAAAATTGTTTGTAAATTAGACTTTTTTTTGTATCATATAACTGATTCAGCCAGTCCTGTATTAAAAGCTGTTCATAAAGAGAAACTAAACTAACTAGTAGCTATTTTGATGAAAATTAATTATTTCTAGTGAAATAATTAATCATCAGGGGAGCTCGAAAATTGAACAATTTTCTTTCACCCCGTACGAGGCTTATGAATTTGAAATTAGCATGGGGTTGGGCTTTTATAGACTGATTATGATTACAGAGCAGATAGGAAAAAAATGAGGATGGTAGGCAGAAGTGAGGGCAAAAGTGATGTTGCCGCAAATTGAGGTGATGGAGAAGAAGACAAGTCGACTCAGACAAACTATCTCAACAAACAGGCCTTGTTAGGACCTGGCAGGGATCTACAGATCCAATGCCTGAGAAATTTTGTTTAGAACATCTGTATAGTTCTTGTTATGATTTTTATTGATTCCTTTTTCACATTTTTACCCATGTAGAGGGGTTTTTGGAGATTTTACAATTACTAAAGGCTTACTTGTTTGTTTGTATTTTTCTAATGAATTTTTAACAGTATGCATTGCTCCTTTTAGCTTTAGAAAATACTAATGTTTTATATGTTTTGCTGAATGTGTTTTTAGATCTTAAATGTTTATAACTAATAATATATTATGAAAGACCAAGTGTTAGGGCTAACTTAGAAATAATAAGTTTGGGAAATTTATTTACTAGGCCTGACATTGATTGCAAATTGAAGTTTTATATGAACATTTCTTTTTGAACTTGTATTCATTCCTGATTAGGGAAAGCTACGTAATCATAATAAAACTAATAAATATTTAATTGTTGTTATTTAATAATAAATGCAGGAGAAATACAGTAACGTTGTGACTGTTATTAAGAAATTAGTTTTATCTATTCATCTTGATATAAAATTCAAGTATGCTAAATGATTACCCTTTGTGCACAGGTGGGAGTCAACGTGTGCATACCACAACCTATAACAAAGACCCGTTCAACATGGTATTATGTATTTGATGTCCCAGTTATCAACTATCAAACAAAACGTTTGAAATGCATTTAGAAGGTTTTAGGGATTACACAAAG